TAAGCTCTGCTTCATCATTCAGCAATCCTCCATCCACTTACCCTCTCCTAGAAATAGACCAAGCTTCCCTCTGTCTCTTGTTCCATCGTGTTGTCTTTATCACTGTGGGCTTTTATTCTGGTCATTGTTTACTACTCTTTAATGGGAGGTAAGAGGGGAGGCAGGGGGGAAAGGAGGAAGAGAAGATGCCTGTATTTTGAATGGGAATTTCAGTCACGGGTTCTCGATGCAGGGCATACGCCTTTTTCTAATGATGGGTCTATGGATTTAATAAGTTTTTCAAAGAGGTGTGTGATACCACAAATTTTAAGTTTAAGGTTCTTCCCTCACAGAGTTAAATTGCCTAATATGGCCAAACAATCAAGGAGGGAAAAAAAGCCCGTTTAACTATATCATTTTCAAAGCGTAGATTCCATATGCTCTACATCATTGATCATGTAGGTTTCTTATTTAGGATACAGATTCTTGGCCTTACTGAATTAAATGATCTGGGCCTGCGTCCCCCAAATCTGCAAATATAGATGATTTATAATATTTACACACTTACTGTACATAAATATATAATATATATTATTTATAGATGAAATTACAGCTGGTAGGCCTCCTATCAAAGTTTGGAACACGGAATTGGAAGAGAAAGATGTACCCTTAATATCTACCTTTTTAAATGATATATTCTATGACTGAAATTTTTTATTGATCTTAATGAACTATTTGTGAAGTTAAAAATTTTTTTAAGCAGTGATTACATCATTTATAAGACGTAGCCTTGAGGCAGCTGAAATTTGCATTCAATGGCCATATATCATAACTTCAGTTTACTACCATTTCCTCCCCCTCTTTTCCACCATTTCCACAAATTTAAATATCAGAAATTGGGATTGGTTTTTCGTAATTTTTTTAATGAGTGCTTTTTTAATTGCTTTGTGTGATTTTTTTTTTTCCCCTTTGGGTGTTTTCAAATTGACTTTTCAGTGGCAAGATTTTTAGTTCCAGAATTTTGTCAGGTATAAAAATCTGGCTAACAGGCCAGTAATTCTCAGATACATTTTATTTCATTTTCTAAATCATCTAAATGTTCTAAGCTGCTCAATCTTCAAACTGTCCATGCAGTTTCCTTCTGAAATGCAGCTGTTGAACAGAAAGAAAAAACAATGCCAAAATGACTGCATAAACATTTAGAGGGATAGTCCGTATAAAACTCTAATTGGCACTTTATATGACATTTTAAAGGCATTATTTCAAAGTCATTAGCAAAATTGTTATTATTATACAAGTCATTTTAAAAGAATAAATTTACCCAGCAGGCTGTTAACTCCTCAGTATGAATTTCCTTTGAACAGTGAATAATCCATGGTGATGTTCTTATTCTTTCATACTGTAATTAGAATTAATAACTAAAATTTTGCCAATATTATCTTTAAATAGAACTATTACAGTATATTTTGTGAAGTTGCTCCTTCTTAGGGTTGGACATCAGCTTTTTTCATGAGCATGATGAATTTCCTTCCTACATGCTTTATTATTTTTGACTTATAAAGGAGGGAATGAACAAATTTGTTAATTTTGTAGGGCAATCTGTAATCCTCACAGGTATTAAATTCTATCAGTTTTCTTCTTTCAAATACATTTCCACTGAGTTGCAGCACTGTTTGTTCCTCGTTTTCATTTTGAATTCTTCTATGTTCCAGATTCATTGGCTACTAATTGAGCATTCAACATACCAAAGATGTGATGTGCACAGGAACGCGTTCAAGAAAAGATCAAACCAGGAGGCTGCCGATTTGCAGTTGGACTTTAACCTGCTTGCTTTTAATAATGCTTGAATGTAGATCCTAATTTATAGGCTTGGTGTGAATATTATTAAACCTTCCCCACTGTTCCCTTGTGCTTTGAATGTTCACTGACCTGTGAAGATAGCTGAGTGGATAAATAAACTTATCCTTAGACCTGGCAAACCAGAGGGATATTAGAAATAGAGCTAATCTTGATTTTTTTAAGAAAAAACTTTATATTACATGATGTGGTGATTTTTTAAAAACTTTTTAAAAGTAAGACTATGAAGAGAGAAGGCACCAAGAGGGCACCAAGGGAGAGGGCGCCTAAGGGCTGAGAGATTAGTTCCTGCCGCTCCCCCACACTCTGCGTATTCTTTGCTCTGGACCTTCCTTGAAGAGAGTGGTCAGCCATGTCCAACGTTGCCGCAAAGAGCAAGGAAGATAAATGCTGAAGGGTTCTTTTTTTTCTTTGCTTGAGACCATTAGAAGCCACAGATGACCTTGTGAAATCAGGTCCTGTAGAGAGGGGAGGACGTAATTCAGATGTCTGCTGGGGGAGCAGTGAAGGGGAGGTAAGGAAGTAGAAAATGGTGGAGGTGGGCTAGTCTGTCAAGAAGCTTAGCAACTGTTGCTAGCAGTGGAGCTCCTCTGGGCCCTTATCAGGGAGCCTCCTAGAGTGGTACAGTACACACCTGAACAAACTGAAGTGGGGCCCTAGTACTCATATTTTTATTCTTTGCAACACCTAACACAGAACATATCTGACACTTAATGAATGAACTTAGTGAATGTTTCTTGAATACATGAAAAAAAAAAAAAACATACACGAAAGAAGGAAGAGAAGATTTTTACAAAGAATCTAGTGATGAAAATGAAAAGAAAATCATGATTATAGTTTGAAGATTATACTGAGAAGTGATTCAATTTTATTTTGAGAATTAGGCAGAGTCAGAAAGAAACACAATGATGATGATAATAATAACACAGCCTGTGTTGGCATAAAGCTTGATGGCTCATGAAGCCTTTTTTCATATTCATTGTCTATTTCTTTATGGAAAAGTGCAGCATAGGACGTTTAGGAAAGAATCATAACCTAAAGAACATTGAATGTGAGACTTGAAATTAGAATGTAGGAAAAGTTCTTAAAATAGATTTCTAACAATATTGACTCATGACATTGTGTGGTTAAAAAGAAAGACAATTAACACCCAGGAATAACCCTGGGATCAGAATGGATAAGAGAAGCATAGCATATATAACCTATGAAATCATCGTATTTCATCACAATTCCATGGTAGTCCGAGCTTTATACAGCTTTGTGTAGCGTGCTAGGCTCCCTGTTGAAAGCTAGACCAGAAAGCACAAATTTGGGGAAGAATTCAGAGAAGAGCTATACAGATTATTAAAGACTAAGTAAATAGGCCCTACTATGAAATGTCCAAAGAACTGGACTTTTCATAAATCCTTATTCGTTGTTTCAGAATTCATGATGATTTACACAATGTAAGTGTACTGAGGAAGGGCTGATTCCAATAATTCCAATTATAATTATCTCATAAAAGAAATATCCAAACTTGGCTGGAAGATCTTTTGTAGCACCAGATCTTCATCAAATGTTCTTTGGTTTACTTAGTTCAGCTTCCTTGGGGGAAGAGCATTCTAATAAAATTTTGTGACGGTTAGTGACTGACTTTTTGCAGCAAGGATAGAATGAAAAGAAATACGCCAACCCATTTAGACTAAGTAGCAGAGGAGTTAGTTTAAACAGAGGTTGTCAGAGGGGGTTATGGAATCTACTTCTCTGGAAAGTTTTAAAAATAGGCCAGGCGCTGATCTCTCTGGGATGGTTGCAGCCTGTGGAGTAGCTAGAGGACAGCCACGGCCCTCTCATGTTCCCTTCCACCTCTACGAGTCTATAGGCTAAAACAATATCTGAGGAGGCCTCTTGGGCAGGGCGGGCCCGCAGTAGCCCAGGCTTATTTCTAACCAGAGTACTTTCTTACCACATGGAATGATAAACATATAAGTGAGGGTGGGGTCAGAATGTTCCCCGAGCCACACTCCGTTGGCATTATTGAGACAGGGTGCTCCATCTACCAGCACGTCGGCTGAAAAGCACAAAGGATACCAGTTAGTATTGAGTGATAGTGCTCTGTTGGATTTCGTTTGTTCCATTGTTGCGCATGTGCGTGTGTGTGTGTGTATATGTGTATGTGTATGTGTGTGAAAATACAGTATGTAAAACTAATTGGAAAGGAAATTCAGTTAAAAATCCAGAAAACATATGAGGAAAGAACCTTCATGTTCTCGGGACATTAGATTCTAACGTCAAGCATTTGATTCTGACATTAGATCCTAAATTTAGCATTTGAATTTTTTGGGTCTGAGGCCTATGCAGGATTGTTGTCTGTTGCTAGCAGATGGGAGTTTTTCTCTTAGAAAATGAGCTTTGTTCCAGTCCCCTAGTGCTACTGGGTAATGGCTGGCTTCTCACAGGAACAGAAGAGACAGCATAGCTGACAGGCACAGTCAGAGTTAGCTTTAAATATCATGTACCCCATCATTTGGTGGGTGGGTGTTGTCGCTAACTATGCTTCCACTTCAACAAAGAAAGTGGTGAGTTGCCAAAAAGCAAGGATGTTCCATCTTAAGGATTATGCTGAATTCTTTCCAGAGAAGAGTTTTTTTAAAAGATGAATTTTATCCTAAAACATTTTCCAAATTTATTTAGGCACTCTACCCAAGGAAAATAAACCTACAACCTAGCAAATTTATAAACAGGTGGTGAAAATATGAGCTTTGTTTTTTAATTGTTCTTTCCTCTTTGCCTCCCATAATTGCTGCTTTTCTGAAAGGTCAATTTCATTTTCTTTAGGAAAAGGAGTCTTTCCTTCATCTCCCAAATGCTCAGTTGATGCCCTTCTCTAGAAGTCTCCCCAGAAATTAAGTTGGCCTAAAGGTCATAAACCATAATCAATATGAAGGCTGGTTGCTGCAAGGTGCTAATTGACAACCCCAAAGAGGAATAGTGTCAATAATCAATAGAGAAGAGCAGAGCACCGGTAGATTTATGGCTTTGATTTTGAAAAGATATAGGAATGCCCTGTGATGTTTTCCCCCACACTCCTTTTGAATGTTAATGCTTTCTTGAAGACGATTTCAGACACACTGCTAGGATACTGCCTCTACTCACTGAAGCAGAATCCTCTGAAGAGTTGCTGAGGCAGAACTGAAATCATGGCTCGCCTCAAAGAAGCCGCCGTATTGGCCGCTAACGATGCCTCACACAGAAAGATGATGCTCCTTTAACTCGAGGGTTTTAATGGGAAGTTTCTAAGCCTGAAACAACAGCTTTAGATCTGGGGTGAGCTGCTTGCAGCTACCACTGCCTACTGCTTTAACACAGCTTGGTCGGGAAGAATGGAAACTAAAGAGGCTTGTAACTACCTGTAACTGTTCCACCAGGAAATGGACCAAGTGTTTATTCAGCCAGATCCAGGTACTTGACCAAAACTGTGTCTTTGTTGGGCTAATTAATGCTTTTCTCTAACTTTACAATTTATGCGTGAGCGTAATCGCATAGATGCCTTTTGGATCCAAGTTCTGAATTTAAATCTAGCTTTCAGATAAAGTGTAATTAAACAGTTGCTAGGTAAAGTTAATATGAAGGGGGGAAATGTAATAATGCCTTTATTTTTAAAGCATGCTTAAGTTTATAATGCTATGGTACTGGATACAGGAGAAGTAAAACAGGCTTTTTTCTTGGCTAAGCTGCAGTAAATTATTCTTGAAAGCTGTTTGCCCATTGCAATATTTTTTTTCCATGCACCTATAACATTCAACCCTCCAAAACGTAACAGAGATGTTTTAATTTGTTTACAAAGGATCACAACTCAACAACTCACAATGACAGCGCTGACTGTCCCTGGTGTCCCTGGGTGATGAGCAGTGTGCAGCCCTAGGCTTTTGAGGTATCAGCAAGCAGTCTTTTTCACTAAGAAACACACAAGGAAAGAGAAAGAATACTGGGTAGAACAGGAGGTTTATTGTTTGAAGTTACAAGTTCCAATTTGCTGGTGGTGCCTTTTGATACCCCCAGTTGCTGACTGGGCACTCGTGTGGTATTGTTCTGATGTTGTCAGCTAGGCTGCAGCCTTGCTCTGCAGTCCCTTTAAAACTCTTCAAGCAGATGTTAGGAAGAAGATTAAGATAGGGAAGAAGTCAAGCTGTGGTTAGGGCTCAGGCTGAAGAGAAGGGTCGCCTGCTGACCCAGAGCTGACAAGCATCGGTGAGCCGGGAACAACAGGGTCCACTCACAAACCCAAGCAGACGTGTCTGCAGGCTGACTTTGCAGGGCTGGCCGGAGGGAACAGACCGAACAGTGCAGCAGTGGGGGCTGGCAACAGTTCCGAAACTGCCTGTTGACATGTGTAGCTGACCGCACTCACATGTCCTTAAAATCATTGTTTATGGGCTGCCTAGTGGACTTGGGTCTATTATTTGAGTATATAAAATAATATTTACCCTTAGCTGTCCTGTGAATTCTGAAGCATCAGGGCTATTTTATTGGTACAGGCGGGCTGTATCTGGAAAAGAAGAATATGAAAGTTGCCATGTATTTATGTGAGCCAAAGATGAGGCGGGGGGGGGGCAGTTAAAATGCGTGAAGTACCTAGAAACCGCTAGGAAATCTTTACCTGAAGTTCTTGGCTGGTCACCAAGAGGGCTGTGAATCCTTTGAATTTACAGAAAACATTTTGTATCTTTGTGTGTATATTTTGGAATGCAAGTTACTGTTCCCTGGGCTCATACACAGAATCTCCCTAAGATTCATAGGTGAATAACTTTTGCTTACCTAGTGATTCGATTACTTAGATGATGAGGTGGTTTGTGGAGGGCTCATAGTGGTGGGGGGAGATGTATAACAGGGTTGGGGATGTTTACATCGCAGTCTGGGGTGGGTGCATGGGATGGAGGATGAGATGTACCTCCTGAGATTCCAGTTGTGCCAACAGCAATGCAGCTGAGGCTTCCTTTAGCTCAAAAAGGAGAGAGTGATTCTATTTAACATCAGTCTCAGGATATGTATTGCTTTAATCATTGAAAGCCATGTTAACATTTCAACAGTCAGCTTCAGAACTGTTGCAGAATAATGCAGCTCTTCGAGTAAGTTTGTCTCAGCCAGTGACTGCAAATTCACTCCTGCCTAGCTAGCCAATTCCCTTCCTGTTACAGACTACAGATTGGTCTCACTAGTCTGCAAGATAAATATAAATAAGGTACACAGGATGTCTTTGTAGGACAAAGTGTCCTGTCCGTCACATGTGAATATAAACTGGACAAGCCTGTGTGTGTTTTTGCTCAATGGATGAACTGTTTTTACATCCACTTTTGAAAACATGTCAAGTCACATAATTAGGTTTCTGGCCTAGAAGTTTTAAAAATTGGGTATGGCAATTATGTGGTTTAGGAATACTTAAAATACAGACAGCATTGCTTAACTGTACTCTGCATACCATTAGCAGCCGAGGGGTGATGACTTCTACTCATTCCAACATGCCAGAGAAAAACTTGCCATCTAGCATCCTTTGGGGGATGATACTCTTTTGGTAACTGATTTTTATGATTTGGGGCAGTTTACCTATAATCTCCATTCTTTCGTGTGCTAGCTTGTATAACAGAAATTAGAAATAAAGAGAAAACACTCATTCATCACCACCTATTTATCGAACACTCACTATGTGCCAGGAACAACTACATATGTACAGCATCTACCACAACTATTATCATTGCAACCCATCGCGGGAGGGTAAGTACTTGAGTCAATGAGCACAAAAGTGAGATGGTGGAATCAAATGCCTGTCTGCGGTTCCCCGGAACAAGGTGCCAAATGCACTTACCTAATTCTGTGGCTGTCACTTTAAAAATAAGAAAAGAAACATGTCATTGCTTTAAGACACATTTTCTTCAGATAAAATATTTTTCCTTACTGTGAAATTGTATAATGAGATGCTAATGAAATGAAATGTCTGAAGGATCCAGGCTTGAGAAGGGTACATGTTGACATTTATAGTTTCCATATAAGACATTTGGATTCTGAATACTTTAGATGGCTGCCTTCCCTACCAAAAAAAGCAGATTAGGTAAGAAAGGGTTGACCCCTTAAATAGAAGGGAAATTGCTTATCTCCAGCTGATTTTTCTATTTCAGACCCCACCCATCAGCATTGAGGCCAAGGAAAATTTAGCGAGCCAAATAACTGCTTTTCAAATCATGAGACTGTGACTATTAAAGTGTCATTGTGATTCGGACTATCTGTGATTCTTTAAAACAAGATCTATTTCAAACACAATGGTCTGACATCCCAGTTTGGCTGGATGACATGTGCTTTTTTTCCTCCTCTCTGTATCAGCTGGCACCTCGAAGTTTGAATTTGGTTCCCTGGACTAAGGGGCCAGAGATTTGATTCAAATTCTATTTAAAGAGGCAGTGATCCCAGACCAGCAAGGAATTCCTCAAGGAGCTTGTTATTTACTAAGGAGAGGGAGACAGAACATCATGGAGAGTCATCCTGTAAGAGGTGCTGCCACAGAATGCAGGGAAGTGCAGCTGGAGACAGAGCAGGAAGCACTCCATCCCTCTGATGAAGGGCGAGATGTAGGCCCCATGAGGAGGCCGTATTTGGTGTGGACCCCGAGTAGGGCGAGAAGTCCACAGGTGGGAATAGGATGAGGAGGAGGGCATCATGACTGAAAGCTCAGAGGGGGGAAACCTGGAGGCCCAAAGCACAGCAGGTGTGAGGTCCAGCTGAAGAGCAGACAAAGCGAGGACGTTCTCCTCGGGGGTCTGCAGGTTCAGTTACACATGAGTTTGTTCTTATCAATACATTGGTCATTTTACTCGAAACCAAATGTGATTTGATGTTTGTTCCTTTTTAAACTTAATGTGAAAATAAATTTATATCTTAGAAAAATTCCACTGTTAGAATATGTCCCAACTTGTGGTCCAGAAAACCGGGGTATCAGGTCCCTAAGGGGTTAATGGGTGGGTTGGGGCCTTGGACATTGGAGTAGAAAGGTTTTCTGAAGGTAGGAGTGGTAAGATCTGAGCTTAGAAAGATGACGCTTGATGCAGGATGTAGAAAATGTGAGGAAAGAAAGAGAGGGCCTGTCTGCAAATTACTGTAACTAAAGCAAGTGGCTAACAGTGAGACTGACTCTGGCGAAGATGGACTCCTCACGCGGGGCTTCATAAGTAATTCAAAGTGTTTTAGACTTTGTGACTATCACCGAGTCCAGAGAGCTTGACTTGAGAAGAGGGATGTATTAGATGATTTTTGAAAATGGCATCTTTTAATTAAGGTTTCCTTGGCCTAGTATTAAAATTAGACTTTATTTCCTGAGCACACACAAATGGACCTGGCAAAGCGAAGAGGCAGATGTGCTGTGTGATGGGGGAAGCCAGGCAGGACTAAAATACTGCTGTGAGTAACTGTGGTTCCTCTTATACTTAAAATAACCACCTTTTGTTATTATGAACACTTATGATGGTTGTGTCAGAATCTTTTGAAAGAGTTTACTTGCCCAAATTTCACTATTTATCTAAAACAAAGATTTCATTATTCAGCTAAAAGCAACCGTGAACATATTCTAAGACTCATTTTTACCAAAAAGGGATGTTGTACTCTAAGACAGGCATTTAAAAAATTTAGATGTCTTTGAATATTTTTGTACTGTGGTAGTCAAGTGATTACATTTATTTCTTTTCCTGCATCTTATTATATCTGATGCTTCCTTTAACTTACACATGCTGTTCAGCTTTCCAAATTTGTAAATTATTGATTAGCTGACTGTGGGTTTGAAATTAAGCAAGTTCTTCCAGGGATTTCAATCAGTCCCAGGCAAAATTATGAAATTGTTGGCATTTCTTTCTGGAGCTCTGTATCATTATATCCCTTTATGAGCTTCTCATCTCCTCCCACCAGCCCCCATCTCTCCCCAGGACTCTCCTGCTGGGCCCTCTGATCATAGCACCCCAAGTCTGCTCCCCCCAGGTCCTCTCAGCAGCCCCTCACTCTCAGGATTGATCTTCCTTCAATCCCCTATCAACCACATATCCTCCTCCTTAAAGTGGAAACCCTTTTCATAGACAATCCCTAATAATGTGTTAATGTGTCACTTTCCTTAGTAAAATATTCGATTTAATAGGAGCCTTTGATGGTTTGACCAGATGAAGTTATTATTATTTTTTTTGTGTGTGAGGTAGATCAGCCCTGAGCTAACATCTGATGCCAATCTTCCTCTACTTTATATGGGACGCTGCCACAGCATGGCTTGACAAGCAGCATGTCGGTGCGCGCCCGGGATCCGGGCCTGCAAACCCTCGGGCTGCTGAAGCGGAGCGTGCCCACTTAACCGCTGCGCCACCGGGCTGGCCCCCAGATAAAGTTATTTTAATAGGAACTTGGGCACCACAGTATGCTGGGAGGGGAGAGGCTTACAATTTATAAAGAACTGTAGAGTTTTCAAAATGGTTTCATCTCCATTTTCTCATCCATTTGGTATATCTGGAAGCGGTTGGAGCATATATGTTTATATTTTAACAGGCTTCTCAAAACTCATGATTAGGCTGAAAAGAGGGTTAACCACGTCCTTGCATCTGCCTTTTAATCAGCACAGAGTGGTAAAACTGCAAATTAAAATGGATTTTTAAATCATTCTAATAGTTGGCATCCCCGTGAAGAAGCCAGGCCCCAGACTTATTCATAGGGAGATTGAAGAGGGAGATGTGGCTGATAATCTGAATCAGGATGACTAGGTTACTTGCTGGGGCTTCTTGGAATGGTTGCTCATCACTGTAGCCCCCAGATGAATGGTGTACCAGCTCTAAAACCTGAGTTATGGGAGAAGCCTAGGAGGTATGTGATGTTGAGCTAGGAGAAGAGGAGTTGTCATTTTGCCTTGTATGAAGGACAAGGCTGGGGAAGACTGCTTCTGGGTGTCAAGATGGCTCTCACTGAGTGGAGACCAGAGGTGGGAAGGGAGGGACTGAACGAGGTGTTGCTATACTAGTCAGCAAGCTTGTGGCTAGGGAGTCATTATCCCAGGCTCCAAAGGTCCTATATCCAGTCCTTCACTGCCTTCATTGAACCTCACAGATCCAGAAATCTTTATGTTGAAATTTATACAGTAAATGATCTTCACGTTATTTCCTTTTTGGATTATGTAATGTTTTCGTAAAGAACTTTCTGAAAATGCATACCTGTTTCAGCTGTATTGAGGATAGACAAAGAAAAGGATTCTGGCCTCTTTTGGGCTGGAGGGAAAATGGATGAAGACTGGGATTCTTGCAAGCCAGCAGGAAGGACAGGGATCAAAGTGGTGGGACCCTCAGTAGGACATGAAAAGACAAGAGGGAACATTGCAGAGACCGCTTAGGCATCTAGTCCTCTATCACTATATGATTTTCTTTTGACCCAGCCCTTGGAGAATTTTATATTTGGTATGATTAAGTCTAGTTTGGGTATTTTTGTTGAGTACAGATGGCCCTTGTCAGAAGAGAGCTGCATTGGAAGCTCTGGCCATCCTTTCCTGCCCCCTCCCCTCAGCCCCAGTTACCTATGGAGAATTAACACCCAAGGCTGGAGGGGGCCTAAAAACACACAAACCAAAACCAAACCCAATCCATGAACATCCTCTATATTCCTAAGGAGCTTATTTAAAAAAGAATACAGTCAAATTTTATCCTAATCTTACTTAAAAAAGAAAAAGAAATATAAATGAATCTCTTGCAACTGTTCCAGACTTTAAAAAAAATTCAAAGAGTTATGGAGCTGCAAAATATTCTTTCCCCCAAAACTGGTAACTCCTTCCTCCTAGATACTGGTTGTAATTCCTTTTATAAACTGTTTTTTTAAACTGTGATTTTATAAACTTCCAAGTGTCAACATACATGCAAACTATTATTATGATTACTAATGCTATACTTCAAGGCAACGATTATAAGTTAACTGAAGAAATACTGTGTTAATGCTTTAGGTCATAATTTCTATTTTTATTTGGTTGCTTATTTTCATTAAGCATAATATCTTTTGAATCCATGTTAATTCCCATAGCTGACTACTCTGCTATGTGATTTTTCTTATAGACAAATTCATAAATAAATGTCATATGTTTTTTCTGTATAGTAATGTCTGATATAGATACTTTCCTTTACAAATTTTTTTTTTTTTGTGAGGAAGATCAGCCCTGAGTTAACATCCATGCTAATCTTCCCCTTTTTGCTGAGGAAGACCGGCTCTGAGCTAACATCTATTGCCAAGCCTACTCCTTTTTTTCCCCCAAAGCCCCAGTAGATAGTTGTAGGTCATAGTTGCACATCCTTCTAGTTGCTGTATGTGGGACGCAGCCTCAGCATGGCCGGAGAATCGGTGCGTGGGTGTGCGCCCGGGATCCTAACCCGGGCCGCCAGTAGCGGAGCGCCGGCACTTAAGCGCTAAGCCACAGGGCCTGCCTTCCTTTACAAAATTTGATTTAGTTCGATATCTGAGGCTTTTAACAGCCTTTGTGTATACTTCAATTTGACTTGAAAGACAAACAATAATATCAATAGACCTCCATTTTTCCACCAGTAAAATGGAAATAGTGATAACTTGTCTTTTTCCTTCTCCTCCTTTCTGCCAAATAGTCTTAAACAGTAGGAAGCCACTGTAAAGCTTAAAACAAAATGCAGTCAATCAATTCCTTTTCCCTAGCTCAGTTCTCTAGGTGCTTCCCGGGGTCAAGTATTGAACCTGGTCTTTGATTTCTGAAGAAAAAAGAAACAGCAGCAGTAGCTTGATGGTTTGGGGGTCTGAGCTACCTCTCTTTCCCTTTGGCCCAGGCAAGAGAAAGCAAAGGAGAAGCGTCACAGCTCCCTTAGTCACATCTTAAGTGAAGAAACACTTTGTTTTGTTTGTTTTTCTTCTCTGTCTACTTTTCAAAGGGTTTTCCCAGACATTCATCGTTATTACAGCACCAAGAGATACGAAGGCATTTCTACTTCCAATGTTACAGCTTAGTGACCTCTTCAAGGTCCCACACTCATTTAGCAGTAAAATGGAGGCCAGCAGCCAGAGCCCAGAACCCGATGCTTCCTGAGAGAGTTTCTATATGAAGCACCTTTTGCAGCCTCAGTTTCCTTGCACCAGGGTTAAAGAGATCCCTACTTTCCTGGAGCTTATAGTAGAGTGGCTGACGTATGGTGTGTTTAGCCACAGTCCTGGCACATAGCTGGTGCTCATTCAATGGTACCATTATAAGAATGATGTGAGAGTAATATTACTGGAGGGAAGCTAGAAGAGACTTGGCAGGAGAGACTGGGTTTAGATGTCAAGTTGGCAGCACACCCTGAGGTCAACATTACCTTGCACATTTCTCATCTTTTGTACTCTGGGTGCCTTCCCTGCCCGTCTCTCTCGGCCCCAGGTGGCTGCTCTGAGGACAATCTGGTAATTTCATGCAAGAGTAAAATATTCTTCCCCATAATTATACAGAATTAAGCATTTCTGGTGAAAAACTTTAGATTTCTTCTTCTGTCTGAAAAACATGACTGTGAGCCCAGAAATAAGGTTGCTATTTGCTGGCTATTCCTTCCCTTCCCTTTCTTTCTTCCAGCAGATATCTCAGCCTTTGCAAAGTGCAGCCACCATGATCTCAGCAGACTGATGATGGAAGAAAAGGAAACTGGGAGATCCTGTGCTCTGGCTTCCCTGGACGATGGACGGAGGACAGCCCATCCCTTCGCCCTTAGTGCCCCTTGGGAATGCGTCGTCAGATTCTAGCATGTCTCTGGAGCAGAAAACCACGTTTGTTTTTGTGATTTTGTTATTTATTTTCTTGGGCATCCTCATTGTCAGATGCTTCCGTATTCTTCTGGACCCATATCGAAGCATGCCAACCTCGACCTGGGCTGATGGACTTGAAGGCCTGGAGAAGGGGCAGTTTGACCATGCTCTTGCTTAGCAGGGAGGGAGCAGGATCCCCTCCCGAGGAGGTGAAGTGCTTCATGTCTTGGAGAGGAATTCTCGTTAGTCAATGTTCTCAACAAATCAAGTTTTAACAATATCTGGCTCTAGGACCATAATCTGTTATTATGTAGTAAACATGCAGTTGGGTTAAAGACATTTGAAGATATTGGAAATGGAGGACTATATTAGTAAGTAAAAATAGGAAGGTTTAAATTTCTGTTTGCTCTGTGAATGAACATTGTTGAATGTGTGTGCTGGTGAAACCAAGAGCATCAATTCTGACATAAACTTTGCCATAAAACGAAGCACTATCTGACCTGCAGAGAAAAAGAGACTAGAAAGGATCTGATCTGAATCTAGTGACAGGGCCAAGAAGAGACTTCCTTGCTCTAATCGTGTCTCTCAGTTTGCTTTATGTTCTTGGGAATCTGGATCCTGGGCAGAGAGTGAAAAAGACTGTGCTGAGTGGACCCAAAGTGGGTACCAGTTTTCTGCAAAAGCAGGGAGCAACGAGAGGCAGTGGGGGGCCTAGAAGAGATGGTTCCACCCCCGCTAAACATGAGTGAGGATGATATTCTTTTATTTTTCAAATAAAACTGAATTCAAAGGCTTATGGAGGTTTTAAACTATTTACCAGGCCAAGTACGGTCTATGTATTCATATTAGTAACATGTGTAGAGGTAACTATACCTAACCTGAATTGACTTTCTTTACACAAATGATTGAAATAAATGGGTTGCAAGTGTAGCTTCAAGTTTTTTTTTTTTTTTTTAATGAAAAGTTAATTGTTTAGAGGAAAAGACTTTTACAGTCTTAAGAGGAATGTGTGTGTATGGCTGAATATAGAAACCAAATAAAACTTTTCAAGAAAGAGTGTCTCCTCTCTTATTTCGCCGAGACTAATGCATGGGAGGCAGCGTGTTATATAGAATGCTGAGGACTAACAGTGTTCAGAAAGAGACAAAGAGAGCAAAGACCACGAAAGGTCGTCTAATTCATCCCTCTCCCATTTCAGGAAAGACTCCCACAAATTGTCCTGCACACATAAAACCTATTCTAAGCACTATTTAAGTCCACCAAAAAGAGAAATGTGAAAACCTCTTATTCTAACTTCCATTGGTAGATAAACCTTGTATCTAAACTAAATCCCCTAGGCTGTATTTCTAATTTTCTCCTCAGCTAGCCATCACTTTTTTTTTTTTATTAAAGAAAAGTTGAAAAAGTTAGCTATGCCTAAAAAGGGAACCCTTAGTAGAACTGCTTTCTTGTCTCCTATTTGTTTTAACATTCTGTGGGGGTCCCGCTGCCCAGATTTCCCTCCTCCCCGTGTTCTCCCTTGATTTTTTTCTCTATTTTTTTAAAAAATAATAGCTTTTTTGAAATGTAATTCACATACCATAAAATTTACCCTTTAAGTGTACAATTCAGTGGTTTTTAGTATATTCACAGAATTGTGCAACTATCACCAATATCTAATTCCAGAATTCTATACCCTCTAGCAGTCACTTCCCATCCGCCTTACTCTCAGCCCCTGGCAACCACTAATCCACTTTATGTCTCTGTGGGTTTGCCAATTCTGGACATTTCATATACATGGAATCATAGAATATGTGGTCTTTTTTTTTTTTTTTTGGTGAGGAAGACCAGCCCTGAGCTAACATCCAATGCCAATCCTCCTCTTTTTTGCTGAGGAAGACTGGCCCTGGGCTAACATCCGGGCCCATCTTCCTCTACTTTATGTGGGATGCCGCCACAGCATGGCTTAGCAAGCGGTGCATCGGTGCGGGCCTGGGATCCGAACTGGTGAACCCCAGGCCACCTCAGCGGAACGTGCGCACTTAACCACTCGCACCACCGGGCCAGCCCCGAATATGTGGTCTTTTGTGTCTGGCTTCTTTCACTTAGCATATTTTCAGGGTAGGTTCCTCCATGTCGTAGCATGATCAGTACTTCATTTCTTTGTATGGCCAAAAAATATTCCACTGTTTGGCTATTCCACATTTTGTTTATCCATCGGCTATCACAGTTATCCATTGGCTAGTATGAAGAACGCTGCTGTAAACGTTTGTGTACAGGTTTCTGTTTGGATATGTGTTTTCAGCTCTCTTGAGTATATTCCTAGGAGTGGGTTTGCTGGGTCATATGCTAACTCTATGTTTGACTTTTTGAAGAACTGTGAGACTGTTTCCCAAAGTGGCTGCATCATTTTACTTTCCCACCAGCAATGTATGAGAGTTTTGATTCTTTTCTTAACTCTCTCCAACTACTCAAATTTCTTCTTTAGCTGTAGAATTTATAATTGAACACACCACTTCAAGAATGAGTCAGATTAAAGAGAGAGAACCACCTCGCGGTTTCTGCTTGCTATAAGTTCATTGATGCCTTCAAAGATCCTTTGCTTCTAGATCTAAAGCAAAACACTGATGCTGATTTGTGGCCATCCTGTGGTCTATTAAGTCACCTGAGTATTTTTTCTGTCTTACTAATGCATTTTTTTTAACCCTTAAATATAAAGTTTTCTTTTTTCTTCAAATGTACCATGTCATGTGTGTCCTTATTAAATTTTTTCTTAATTTATTGGGAGTCCATTCAAACCAACTCAAGTGTTTATTGAGCACCTGCTTTGAGCCTGGCATTTCCAGCACTGGAGCAATAGGAAAAGTACAGGGCTAGTTCTTGCTCTTGAGTACCTTTCTTGTTGGAGAGCTAAGAAGTGAAATAAGGCATGTGTCTAAATCATTGTTCAAATGACTGATATGGACCTATGGTTCCCACCCCATGAGAATCATCTGGGAGCTTAAAAAATAAATACGCCCACACATACTAATTTTTATTATAAAAGTTGTACATGATCATGGTAAAAATGTATAAACAATGTGGAAAAATATAAAGTAAATAGCGATAGTCAAAATTCTGCCTCCTTAGGTCATGCTATCTCCTCAGTGTCTCCTGGGGAGCTTGTGGAAAATGTAAATTGCTGAAGACTTCCATCCCTAGGGGTTGATTCTGTAGAGTTGGGTGAACCAATGTTTCAGGAGATAGAACACTGGAGAGATGGATGTGGGCCAAGATAGTCAAGGAAATGTCCCAGGAGACAATGGCTCAGGTGTGGTGTTCATGTTTACGTGCTTGGTGTAAAGCTTTATGCAGTGTAAGTTATTATTATAAAATAAATTAGATCTTGACCTAAGAGGATGGAAGTGTTTTAGTTATGTGCAAAAGAAGAAAGGAGGGAAAAGTGTAGTATAAGGAAAAGGAGGTGTGGATATGGGGCTTATAGCTAGGAAGGCAGCCTGGCTGGAGCTCATGGAGGAAGGATAAAGGTGGAGCTGAACATCAGAGGGTCCTAAAAGGCAAAATGAAGTGTGGGAGTCACCGTAGATTCGTGAGAAAGACTTGAAGAGTGGTTATCAATTCCAGTTTCCACACCCTTCCTCAGGGCAACACTAGGATCTACTTCTATAATGGGAACAGACTGAAATAGCCACCTGCCCTCTATGAGGACTTTGAGCATAGGATTGCCAGTAAGTGCCATGAGGCCTCCCAAAGCCTGCTCTTCTTTCTTGTCCCCCTTTATTCCCCACTCTATTTTTGTTTTTCCTTCTCAGATTACTGCTTCTTGTTCACCCTCCCCTCACTGGGTCTCCCCCGCCCCACCCCTCCCTTGTCCAGAGCAAGAGTACCATAACAAGTGATAAAAAGCTTTGGGCTATTCAGAGTAAATTGATCCCTCCTGTGAGATGTGCTAACTCTCTGTTTTAATTACGCAGCACTCCTTGGGGTGAACAGTATATTCTCTGAAAGGTCACATAAGCCTTCTCCTTCCTGGCTTCCTGGCTACAGGAGTTACAGTGCAGCATTTTGCCTACCTTACAAGATATTTATAATGAGTACAGCTGCCCTCTATCGTGTATATCTGCATCCCAGGATGAAAAAAATTACTTTCCCAAGGTCACTCTAGAATAGAGCTCCCTCTTGATTCAGAAAAATGTGGCAAACTCATTCTCAGTCTGAGCTCTGAACCATAGCTCCATGGTTTATGCCCCCAAGAGACCCCAAGTTCTAGATCAACATTGCTGCCTCCAAGAGACCTTTTTTTAATATCTTAAACACCAAGTAAAGTGAGTCTAGCAAGAGGTGTGAGAGAGATTAACTTGACTCCTGCTGTTAAACTAATGAACATTCCAAGCCAGATCATTCTTTTGCTATTTTTAAGGGTTAAAGCTGAAACAAAATAAGCAACAGTTTTAGGAAGCAGATGTTAGAGCAAATGCTTATGCACACAAGAAAAAATATGTATTCAAGTTCCTTTTTTATTGGATTCATTGCATAGTGTTTTACTGAAACACTGAATCATTTACAAGTATATTGATAAATTTAGTGTGATGAGAAATTTTACTTAGCTACTATAAATCATTTATAAAAATTTTGTAGTTTTAAGATGTTAACTTTCAGAATTGACGTATAAAACATATTGAAACACAATTATCTTCAAAAAATATTTTAGCCCCAAAACATTGAATAAATTCTGAGATGTGATTTGTGAGATCCACGATGTGTGTCTTCTGAGACAAATTATGCAAGAGGGTTGTCTCAATTATTGATTAATCACAAAGTTGTAGAGTAGAGCCTTGACCTCCAGAAAAAATGCCCAAATCACTATATGTGCCTATGCAATTCAGGATCAAACCGGCCCAGGCTGGAAGAGGTTATTTGCTTGTTTTGAGATGCAAAAGAAGGACCCTCTAAACTTTGTATCTCCTGCTTCATAAAAGAACAAATGAATTATTTCCAGACAGATGTCTACCTCTTCAGAAACAAGGCCTCCCCATCCTACAGCTTGCTTTGGCCTGCTGAGTCAGGGCCCAACACTCCAGCCAGTCTGGAGCCCTTTCCTAGGTCATTTTTTAGAATAGGATTCCCTGCTGGATTTAGTATAGAGTGCACATTTCATTTCCAGTTTCCTGCCATAAACTACCCTCGTGTCTTGTCACAAAGCACCACAAGGTATTCTTACATCCTTCCATCCCATAGCCTTTCCCAATATCCTCATTGATGTTTCTACGCTTTAGGGTAAGAGAGATTCCCTTTAAACCATCTTTCAGAGGGGATTTTCACACTTATTTTCTTCTAAGCCCTATTACCATCCCTACAGCTCCAAATTTATGCCAGCTTTTAGGAAAGCAGCTCTTCCTGGATTCTTTGGAGTTTGAAAAGCTGGAAAGAAACATTGCTGTCATCTATTTCAACCCCCTCACTTTACATATAAAGACATAGAGAAGCAAAGAGGTCAAACGGCATGCCCATAGTCACGTCTCCACCCATTGGTTATAGTTGTATCATCTTACATATGTGGTGTGCAGATGAATTCATACAAGTGAGCAGTTAATAAATCCATGAAGTGAAAAATAACTGACGTGACAGTTATTCTTAAATAATCTCTTTTCTGAAGGGGGTGGGGAATAAATGTGTTTTGTTTCTTAAAAAAAGAAACCCGTATGGACAATGTAT